TCTTGATGTCCGCTTCTCCTTCATCCCTTACGACCAAGTGGCTACTAAATCATATTGCTGTAAATTATCTGCTCATTCATTTACTTATTTGTCAAGCAGACACTAAATTTCTACTATGCACAAGGTCAGAGTCCTAGCATGGTGCTGTAGGATGAGCACCGGACTGCCAGCCACAAGGTCAGCAATTCAAATCCATTAGCTAGCTACTCCTCAGAAACCCTCTACAGGGTTGCTATGAGTCAGAACTGACTCAGCACTTAAAAACAGTAGTATGTATAAGGTCAGCAGTTCAAACCCCCAGCCACTCCACTGAAGAAAGATGAGGCTGTATGCTCTGTAAAGATTTACAATCTCAGAAGCCGTTCATAGGGTCATTATGAGTCAAAAGTGACTCAGTGGCAGTGGGTTTGGTTTCTGTCTTGTGGGTCAGACACTGTGGTAGACACTGAGGTTATGACGATGAATAAGATAGGAAGTTTCCACTATCTCAAAGTTTATATTCTAGTGGGAACCCAGACTATATGCTTAATCTTGTGTGTTCAAGTTGCTCTTTCAGAAAAGGTACATAGAGCACGTGGAGCTAAGCTAGCTTTGGGTTGTCAGGGGAGATTTCTGAGAGTATTGATTATTTAGCTGAGACTTTGTTGTTAAGTGCTGTCAAGTCGATTCTGACTCATAGTGACCCTGTATAGGGTTTTCAAGGAGCAGCTGGTGGACATGAACCACAAGACTTGTAGTTCTCAGTCCAGTGCTTATCTTACAGTGCCACACCAGGAGTCTAGCTGAGACTTTTGGTCAGAAAAACATAGCCAGAACAGTGCTGTAGGCATCATTCATTCAGTAAATATTTATTGAACACTTACTCCGAGTCCTGGTGGTGCTGTGGGTTAATGCACTGGACTGCAAAGTCTGAGCTGCAAGGTTGGTGCTTCAAGCTCACCAGTCGCTCCTCAGAAATCCTATACAGGGTTGCTATGAGTTGGAACCAACTCGAAGGCACTTAACAACTCGGAGTCAGGCTGTGTGCTGTGCTCTGCAGAGTAAGGTAGAAAGATAGACACAGTCCCTACTCTCCTTGTGTTTAGTGGTCAGGATGAGGGAGAAACAGACTTGATAAAACAGGTACTAAATATATAGATAATATATCCTCTAAAGGGTCACTTTCCTCTAATATTTACTGGGAGATTAAAAGGTGTGATAGTTAAAGTTTTCTGTCAGTTTGGCCAGGTCTGGATTCTCAGTGGCTTGGTGGGTAAAATGTAGTAGTCCCCTGGATGACATCTAATCTAATCTAATCACTTCCACCATGAGATCTGCTGTGAGCAGCCAATCAATTGAAGGAAGTTCCCTTGGAGGTGTGGCTTGCTACCAATACATCCCACACTCCAGCAAGACTTGCTTTGCTTTTTCCTGGATCCTGGGTCTCTGGATCATCATCTTATCTTCGGTTCTTCGGTCTTGAGCCAGTGTCCTGCCCTCTTCCCTGCTGACCTTGGATTCACCTGTCTCTGCAGCAGTAGCATACTGCTGTTCTTGGGTTCAGCAGTGCCATCAGCTACATTAAGTCAGGATAAGTCTTTAGCTGACATCTGACCCACAGACATAGAACTTGCCTATTTTTACAACTATGTGATCCATTTCCTTGAAATAAACCTCTCTCTGGGAGGGTTGTGGCTCTGTAATATAAGCAGATAAGCAGTGGACTGCTAACTACAAGATTGGTGGTATGAGTCTACTAGTTGTTCTTTGGGATAAAGATGTGGTTTTCTGCTTCTGCAAAGATTTACAGCTTCTTAAACCCTACATAGGGTGGCTATGAGTTGGAACTTA